TCTCCATGTCTTTCCATCACCCATCCCCTCCTATTTCACCCCATCTCCTCCCATCTCCTTTCTCCATTCCGTTCGTATCTCCTCCCCTCCCTCCCCCTCCCCTCGCATGCTCCAGTGAGGCCCCGGCATGGAAGCGCACGCTAGCAGCAGGGCTAGGCGTGGTGAACGTGGTGGGGGTCGTCTGGCTCTCCTCCCTCCTCAGGTACCACCTGCCTCTCCTCAAATGCCACCTGCCTCTCCTCCCTCCTCACTCCTCACTCCTCAAACGATGCTGTGTCAATTCGGCCTAGAATTGCATTGTCGACCAGGTGACAAAACTACATGTTTTCTAGTGCTGCTTGTTCCAGTCAACTGACTTGTTGTCTGCTCTTCCCCCTCTCTCTCAATTGCGCATGCTCCTTCCTCTCCATACCATCCCCTTCGTCCCTCCGTCCCCACCTGTCCGTCTATTCCTCCTTTTGGTTTCTAATCCTCTCTACCTTTTGTCATCTTCCCTGTGCATGCCTCCCACTGTCTGTTTTTCTCTGTCTCTTCACCCAACCGTACCTTTCCATACCTGCCTGTACCTCTGTCTGTGTGTCTGTCATCCTCTCGCCCCGCCACAGCGATCCAGCAATAGTGCGGGAGGCAGGCATTGAGTTTGTTCAACTCATTTCCTCACTCATGCCATGGCTGCAGGTAACCCACTCATTCGCATTCATGCACCACTCTTTCCCTTCGCACAACCTTTCATAGGCTTCAATTCTCTTCCCTTCCTCTCCCTTCCCCCTTACCCTGTCTGCCGTTCTCAACCTCACTCATTGTCTTCCGCTTCACTTCCCCTTCTTCCTGTTCCGTCTTCACCCCGTTCCCCCACCCCACATCCCCTCCCCCTCCGTCCGCAACCCCATCCGTCAGGGCTATGCAGCGATGTTCTTTGCCATCCCAGCAGTGTGCTACCTGTGGCAGCAGCGTTGAGTCGACTCAAAAGCCACCTCTCTTTTCATTCTCAACCCCCCCCCTCCGTCCTCCTCCCAACCCAACCCACCAGAGCTATGCAGCGGTGTTCTTCGCCATCCCAGCGGTACGCTACCTGTGGCAGCAGCGTTGAGACAACCCTAAACTCACCTCAATCTTCTCCTCTCTCATTTTCCATCCCCTCCCCCACCAGGGCTATGCAGCAGTGTTCTTCGCCATCCCAGCCGTGCGCTACCTGTGGCAGCAGCGAGCCAACGAGGCCATCGCCCTGCGCAACTCCCGCCGCCAGCAGAGCGCGCTGCAGCTCGCCCAGCCCAACGCTCAGCTGCGCCGCAAGGTGGGTGCGCAGGAGAGGGGGAAGTGGGATACTGGTACATTGATGATACGTTCTCATGTGGTTAGTGTTGGACGTGGTGAGGAGGAAGGCAGGCCACTGTGCGCAGCGCACTACCTTGCCCAATCAAAGGTGCTGTTTTGTAGCTGGTTACGGTATGCACAGAAATCCCCTCTCGTCCTTCCAGTTCCCACCCAAGCACCCACCCTTTCTTCTCTTCCTGCTTTCTCCTCCCTTCCTTCCTCCCTCTGTCCCTGCCTCTCCATGGCAGCTGGCGAACGCGCGGGAGCAGGCGCGCAGCACGGTGGTATCGGAGGACAAGGTGATCTACACCACGGCCAAGGACATGGCAGAGCAGGACCTGGAGGCCCGCGAGTGGGAGCGCAAGCTGGAGGGGCGCTGATGATGAATGACGCCATTTTCAAGGGAGGTGGCTCGTGGCATGGTGGCGATGTATGCGCGCTCACTGAGGGATGATGGATGGATTATCTGTGCTGGATTGAGGGAGTGCGCTGCGCAGCCAGTGGTCTGGTCATATCATATCACATGCCATTCAGCCAAACCCTGCTACGGTACAGCTCATCGTGACAGCTGCAAAGGTATATGACTATGATGGGGGTATCTATTTGATGCAAGGAAGAGGTTAGGTGGTAAGTGCTGTGTGTATATTCAGGTTTGTGGATGATTTGGAGAGGTGTGGAGTGGTGACAGTTCGTAGTAACACTTGATTGATTTGGAGTTGTTAGTAGCCACTTCTGGAGTTGATTGGACGTTATACTGGTAACTAGGTAATTTTCTGTATGTCACAGAATGAAATTGATGCCACGATAGACTTTCTGTCTAGCTCCTACCTGGCATTCCCTGCTTCTAACATGCAAACAGGCACCACTAGAACACCCTAGAACATGCTTCTAATCTGGAAATGATTCCTGGAGTGTTCCTATTTGTCTAGTCTGAACACACTAATGAACACACACACAACTTGTAACAAGGAAACCCAAGTTCTGGCTGGTACTGGCCAATGTACAATGCAGTGCAGTGCAGAGGTATTCATTCAGCTACCCAACACAGCCCACAAGATTTATGAGCATTGGCACACTTACACATGTGCCATTTTCACTCAACACCAGCCCCCTCACAACACAAACCAACCCCTCCCATCCGTTCCCCCCCCATCCCCCCTCCCCAACCCACCCCCCCACCCCCCCCCATGACTAATGTAACTACCAACCTAAAGCCCCTCGCACAAATCAAAGCCCCAAACCCTTCTCCCAACCTCCCACCCTCTCTCTACTCCCCTCTCCTCCCTTCCCGTATCCCTGCTTTGCGTATCTCCAACCATAGAGCACCACCGCTCGCCCTCGATTTCCGTTGAGCAAACCGTCCACCATTGCTGCTTTCAGCTTCCCCCTCTCTGCATACACGGCTGAGATTTATCAGCAGATGAGTTGCACACATGCACACACACACTTCACTCCACTCCATTCCACTCCACTCCACTCCACTCCACTCCACTCCACCCCTTACACATACACGGCATGCAAGTAAAAGTGGCTTCCAGCACAGATGCACGGGCAGAGAGAGAGAGAAGGGGAGTTGTCACCCCGCACAGCAAAAGGTCGTGAAACCAATTCGGATTGTACCACCACCATTGGCTGCACCCAATTTGGATTGTACCGCCCTCACATAGTACACATGCCTGGCCTATGGCTTCACGCCTGCAGAAACCCACCACTTCACCAACGCCAATCGCACTGCTGCCACTTGCAGTGGCACTACTGCCGGCACAGCTGATGCTGCTGCCGATGCTGCTGCTGCTGCTGCTGCTGCTGCTGCTGCTGCTGGCAATTCTCAAACACCTTCCGCTAGCGCTGGTTCTCAACATTCCGCTGATAGTGCTCTCAAGCTCCTTCCACTCCAAGCCCAGTATCTCATACGTGAGGGGAGATTGGGGAAGTCCCCCCCCCACCACCCCCTAAACCACCCTCACCACCACCACCCACCCACACACTCCCAGGAGAGCTGACCGTACTACTGCTGCTGGAGGGTAGAACCGACGTGGGTGACAGCCTTCCAGACGAGGGGGCGCCTCCTGCTGCGGCAGCCGCAGTGGCGGCAGCGGCAGCAGCGGCGGTGGCGGCTGCTTGCATGGCGTTCATGCGCTGCTGCAGCAGCAGTATGCGCTGCTTGAGTGACGGGCCCAGGTCTGTAGCTGCTAGAGATGCACTCAGAGAGGAGGATGCTCGGCCTGCACTTGCTGCTGTAGCGCCTGGAGGGCTTGTCTTGCTGCTGATGCTGCTGGTGGCCTTGCTGGTGGTAGTATTGCCTGAGGCATTGTTGATCGTGGTGGCATTGGTTTTGGTGGTGGTGGTACTGGTGGTGGTGTTGGTTCTCATGCTGCCTGCAGTGCTGCTGCTCGTGACAGGGATGCTGTTTGTTGCACTGATGACAGCAGCACCGTCTGCAGCTGTGCGCATGGTGCTTGCCTGCTGCTTCCCTTCCAAACCAGCACTTGCTGCTGTCGTTGCTGCTGCTGATGCCGCTGCTGATACTACCGCAGTTGTTGTTCCAGTGGGGTGGGAGGGAGGAGATAAATAAGGTGCTGGCGGCGAGGGAAGGTTGGGAGCAGCAGCGGCCACAGCAACAGCAGCAGCAGAAGTGGAGGCAGCATTGGAGGCCATCCGTTTGCCAGCAGCTGAAACGCGAGAGTCTGTGGTGAGACATAAATACGGCGCTGTAACTGCTGCCGCTGCAGCTGTGGTTGCTGGTGCTTGTGCAGATGGGCCTGCCAAATTCTGACCCGCCTCAAGACTTGAAGGCACAGAACAAGCAGCAGCAGGAGCTGCAGTAGAGGTGGGGGCAGCGGCAGGGGCTAGACTCATCATATCCCTCCTTTGCTCTCTGCCTCGTCCTCTCGCTGCCTCCATTCCACCTCCCCCACGCGAATCCCAGTCATCAACCTCATCACCGGACACACCTCCCAAATCAGAGCCAAGCACTCCTCTTTCCGGCGCTCTAGACAGCATCCCATCCCTTCCTCTTTCTGCGGTGCCACCAACACCAGCGACCTGGTGCGGAGAAACAGGCACAGATATGGACTCGCCACCAGTGCTCTTGCTTGTTTGCCTGCCGTTTTCTTGTCTTGAGGTACTGCTTGCGCCGCTGCTGTTGCCACCCGTCCAGCTGCTTTTTCTGTTGTTGTTGCTTCTGCTGCTGCTGGTCATCCCTGCTCTCCCGGAAGTTCCTCTTTCCCCTGTTGCACGCTCTTCCGTGGCTTGCTCGTTCGCAGCAGCACCGCCGCCAGTCGACCACTTGGGCCTGTTGCTTCCTCTGCTTCCTCTCTTTGGTGGTTCATCTTTTTCATTGTCTGCACCTGCAGTCGCTCTTGTTTCTCCCGCTCCTGCAGCTGCTGCTGCCGCTCTGCCTGGAGCTGCTGCTAAGGCTTCAGTGGTGGCACTCCTGTCAGTGCTATAAGCGTCGCCTTCAGCATACGCGTTGGCCTCACCACCCCGGCGAGACCCCTTGGACCATCCCCTCCATCCATCCACCCGCGTCCCCCTCCCCTTCTCACCATCTCCTTCGTCCGCTCTTGCTGCCCTGCCGTACCGATCAGCGCGAACAGCAGCGGCAGCAGTGGCAGCATCACCATTAACAGCAGCATCACCAGCACCAGCAGCGCGGGCAGCAGTAGCAGTAGCAGCAACTGGCCTTACACTCTCTCTGTTAGCTGCAGGCTGCTCCCGTCCTTTCCACCCTTCCCACGCCTCCACCCTCGCATCAAACGCACCCCTTTCCCCATAACTCCTCCACTCATTCACCCTAACCCCTTCACTCCTCTTACTCTCTCCCGCTCCTTCCTCTCCCTCACCCTCCTCCCCACCCACCACAGCCTTGAGCCGCCACCCATGCTCCGTCCTCTCCTCCTCCAACTCCTCATCAACCGTACTCTCATCCTCATCCTCCTCCTCACTCCCTCCCACCCCCTCCTCCTCCCCTCTCCTCCGCCTCACCCGCACCCGCCCCATAGAGTCACACTCCTCCCCATCACACGAGCTCTCGGACCTCTTTTGAAGCACAGGCTCGAACAGAGCGCTCAAGCCGCCCTGGCTCTCCTCCACACTGCTTCTAGCTCCCGATTCTCCTCCTCCTCCTCTTCCGCCCATTGCTGCTCCTGCTGACGCCTGTCTCACAAGCCGGCTGCTGCTGCTGCAGCCACCACCACCACCGTGTTTTCCTCCCTCCACCCTGTCCCCACCCTCCCCTCCTCGTCCTCCCCCCCACCAAACCCCGCTACTAGCACCACCACCCACCCCCGTTCCCTCCCCAGACCTCCTCACCCCACCCTCCTCACCACCACCACCATTCCTCCTCCCTTGCAACCCCTCTCTCAAGCTCCCCCTCAAGCTCCCATGCAGGCTCCCATGCACGCTCCCCGCCAGGCTCTCTCTCAGGCTGCCCGGCAGACTCCCCTGGCTGTGCATGCGGCAGAACGCGTCAAGCCCAAGGTTGTCGCTCCCCTGGTGCACCCGCACGCGCATCTCCTCCGCGGCCGCCTCTGCTGCCGCCGCCTCCTGCGGACTCTTCAGCCTCCGCATCATGCGCGCGCGTTCCCTCTCCCGCTCCCGCTCCTTCTCGAGCATCCGCTCCGCTATCCGCCGCCCCCGATCCTGCTCCCGCTCCCTCTCCCGCTCCCGCTCCCTCTCCCGCTCCCGCTCCCTCTCCCTCTCCCGCTCCCTCTCCCGCTCCCTCTCCCTCTCGCGCTCCCGTTCGCGCTCGCGCTCCCGCTCCCTTTCCATCTCGCGCGCCCTCTCCCGCGCGCCCTCCCGCGCGCTCTCTCGTTCCGCCTCCTCCTGCCGCTTCCGCTCCTCGCGATCTCGCTCCCACGCCTGCCTTCTCTCCCGCTCCCTCTCCTTCCGCGCGCCCGCGTCTCCCCAGCCCCCCAGCTCTCTGCGCGCGGAAGAGGCGCTAGACGCGGGGTAAGGGGCCCCGGATAGGGAGAGAGGGGGAGGGGGCGATCCGGCAGCGGCGGAAGGATGATTGGCGGAGAGGGGAGGCGGAGACGGGGAGTGCAGAGGCGGAGAAAAGGACAAGCCATGGAAGGCCGCTGCAGCAGCTGCTGCTGCTGATGCTGACGATGATGCTCCGGCAGCAGCGGAGGAGGAAGCAGCGCGGGCGAGGCGTCGGGGGTTCCCTCCAGACGCCAGCAACGGCGGCGACGATGAGGACAGCAAGGGTGGCGACGGCGGGGACGGTGGCGCTTGAACAGCGGGAGCAGGGAAGGCAGGCAGAGCAGGCGGAGCAGGCGGAGCAAGCGGAGCAAGCGGAGCAGGGCCGGAGGATGATGGTGAGTATGAAGGCGCATTCCTTGCCGACGGTGCCACGGCTTCTGCTGCACCAGCGGCACCACTAACACCGGACACGGAACCATCAGCGGCAGCAGTGGCGGATTCAGCGGCGGCGGCGGCGGCGGAAGCAGCACCCGTGGGGTGCGCGTGCAGGCGCTCCAGCCGCTCTATCTTGTGCTGCAGCGCTGCCAGCATGCTCTCTGATGCCTGCTTGGGGACGCGCGGCAGACGCAGGGAGAGTGCGAGAGTGGGTGAGGTGAATGGGTGAGTGAGTGGGCGAGTGCGAGAGGGAGCAAGAGAACGAGCATGATGCGGGCGGGGCGACTCACCTTGCCCTCCATGCCGCGCAGCCTTGTCCGCAGCTCTTCCGCCTCTCTCTTCACAGCCACCAGCTCCGCCCTCTGCGCCTCCGCCTCCGCCTCTGCTTCCGCCTGCGCCTGCGCCTGCGCCTGCGCTGTCGCGCTCCCCTTAGCCCCATACGCCACCCCACTGGCGCCAATCTCTCCGCCTCCGCCCGCGACTCCCCCAGTGATCTCGCTGAGCCACCTGCGCCTTTCTCTGCTCGCATTCCCCGCGCGCTGCTGGCTCCGCCGCTCCTCCGCTTCCTCCTCCGCCCTGCGCGCGCCAGATCTTTCCGCGTCCGCTTCCGCCTGCGCCAGCGCCCGGCGCGCAGCCTCCGCCTCCGCTTCCGCCTGCCGCTTAGCCGCGAGCAGCCCCGCTTCCGCCTCGCGCTTCCCCGCGACCAGCTCCTCTATCTGCAGCAGCAGCGCCGCCTTCTCCCCTTCCGCCTGCAGCGCGCGGCGCTCCATGTCCGCCAGAGCCGCGGGGGGGGAGGGCAGGCGGAGCGAGGAAGTGGAGTGGGGGAAGCCGCCGCGCGCGGAGTCGGAGGTGGCGGAAGAGGAGGAGGAGGAGAAGGAGGAGAAGGAGGCGATGGAGGGCGCGGGGGAGGAGTTGGTGGAGAGATTGTGCCCCTTGGCGCGCAACTCCTCCTCCAGCTGGGAGACTGCGCGGATGGAGGAGCGCGCGGGGGAAGGGAACGAGGGGGGAAGGTGGGGGAAAAAAAGGGGGGCACGCACGGGGGAGGCAGGAACGAGGGAGGCATGCACCACGCACGCGGAAGGTGAGATTATGAGGCGGGGACGGAAAGAGGGAGGGGGGTGAAGTAGAGGGGAGAAAGAAGAAATTGCCTTGAACGGAACAAAAGGGGACGAAGAGAAGTAGTGGAGGGGTGAAGTTCGAGCAAGGGCAAGCAACATGGTTTGCAGGGGGGTGGGGAAGGGGAGGGAGGGGAGGAAGTGGGGAGGGGGAGAGCGGGGGAGGAAAGACAAGAGAAGTGATAGTGGAGAAAGGAAGGTGGGTGCGGGTGGCAAACGAAGGGGCAGGATGAAGCAGGGGGGAGGAAGGAGATGGGAAGAAAGGCAAGCAAGAGCACAGCACGAAGAGGTTGGGAGGAGGAGAGCTGGGGAAAGAGGGGGAGAGATGAGAGAAGGTGCAGGAAATACACACGGAGAGCAGTAGGCACCATCCATCACCATCACCGTCACCACCATTGTCGCTCCAGCGCATGTACCATACCTCTGGCTTTAAGATTGGCAATGGTTGTGATGAAGACACTCTGGTTGCTGGACGCAACAAAGAGCCCACAAGTCGCACACCTCCCATCACCAGCAGCAGCAGCAGCAGCAGAGGCAACACCAACACCAAGACCACCAGCACCAGCACCAGCACTGGCACTGGCACCAATAGCACCAGTAGTAGCACCAGTGGCTGTGCGGCCGTCCCCGCCAGAAGCAGGTTTGGGGGGGCAGGCGCACAGAGGCAGCTTGAGCGCGGTGTCACCTGCCCCGGATCCGCCCTCCCTTGCTGCCGCATCCGCTGCTGCCATGGCTGCCACTGTCTCTGATGCCTCTAGTAGCCGCACCCTGTCCCTCAGTTGCAGCACCTGGGGAAGGGGGAAGGGGGCATGGGAAGGGGGGTTGAGGAGCGGGGAGGGGGGGAGGGGGAGGGGGAGGGGGAGGGGAAGGCAGAGAAGGCGGGGGAGAGAGAAAGGAGGGGGTTTTGGGGAGGGGGAAGAGGCAGCAAAGATGTGGTTGGAGATGGACTGTGGGATAGAGGCATAGAGACTGGAGGGGGAAGGGGGGAAAGAGGGAGAGGGGGAGGAGGGGGGGTGTGTGGTGGTAGAAGTCTCTACAAGGGCACTCATCGCAGCAGCAGAAGAAAAATCAGCTGAGCAAGCTTTGTATATACATGTTATAATGCATAGACAAGGAGGTGTACTACAAGAGTGGCAGCAATGGATTTCAACGTCTAGCGGTGGACAATGCACTCTCTCCAATTCTCATGGAAAAGCAATGAATTCTATGCAAGCCTCACCTGCACACCCAACACCAACACCAGCACTCTGACACACAATCTCCCACTCCACGCACCCCACCCGAACCCTTCCACTCACACACTCCCACACACACGTCCACAGCGCCGCCACGCGAGCGCCATACCTGGCCGCGGAGGCGGTTGGCGGCGCTGGCCTCGTTCTGGGTGTGGCGCCAGGCGCGGTGGGAGAGCGCGGAGATGCCCTGCACGTGCACCTGCATCACCGCTGCCGGATGCACCACACTGCTCAGCAGCACCGCGCCCTCCAACACCCCGCCCAGCTCCTCGCACCAACCCCCCACCTCCACCTCGCCTCCCCCTCCCGCTCCCGCCCCTGCTCCCGCTCCCGCTCCCGCGCCTGTTCCCCCTCCGCTAGCGTCTCCCCCTCCGCCCCCCCGCCGCCGGCTGCGCGCGCGCCTGTGCGCCGGCAGGGAGAGAGGAGAGGTCCGGGGGCATGGCCCATACCTCGGTTTCCTGGAAGCACCTGCAAGACGCGCGGTGAGAGAAAGCGAGGGCGAGAGTGCGTGAGAAGGGAGTGGAGGGATGGGCGAAGGGGATGGGAAGAAGAGTGAGGAGGAGTCAACGGAGCAGGTACGCGGGGAGCAGGTACGCGGGGAGCAGGTACGCGGGGAGGAACACGAAGATGAAGACGCAAACAGTAGGAACGATCAACGTGAGGAGAGAAGACGGAGCTCAAACACAGGACGCACGGTTGTTGAATGGCGCCTTGAGAAAAGGCTGCACTCACTCAAGGCTCTTGTCTGATGACGTGAGCGTGCAGGTGAAGGCGTGTGAGGGAAGAGGCAAGAGGCATTCGGAAGTCAGAGACGCAATAGGATCCCCCTCCTCAGGTCTCTACGACCTGGAATGATGCTCAACGCGGCTCCATCGTTCTTCTCACCATCCCGCGAAGTAGTGCGCGGAGGTCGGCGTGGCGGTGGCGGAGAGGCAGCGCCCGTCCGCGGCGACGGAGCGGAGCCCCACGCGCCCGCCGCCGAAGCACATCAGCACGAACACGCCCTCCAGAGGCACGCCGTCGCACGACGACCCTGACGACGCAGACGACGCTGGCGACGCTGACGCCGACGAACCGTTGGTTCCCGCCGCGCTGTCCGTTCCGCCAGTTCCCCCGCCCGCGGCGGCGCGTGCGCTTGCGCCTGCGCCTCCCGCAGTGGCGGCATCCGCGGACTGCGCGGAGGTGTCGACCGGCGGCAGGGGCACCGCGCCGAGCTCCCAGCTGCGCGGGGAACGGGGGGAAGAAACGACACAGGGAACAGGGGATTGAAGAGGCACGGGGGAAGCGAAGCAACAGAACAACCGCCTCGTCTCTCGCCATTTGGCAGTCGTTGCTCCGCACTCCGCGCTCGTCGCTCGTCAGTCAACTCACCGTCCGTTCGACTCAACGGCCGCCAGCAGCTTGTCCTTCCCCCACCGCAGGCACACCAGCGCGCCGTGTCGCAGCACCGCCGTTCCCGCGCGCCGCGTCGCCCACGCGCGCGTGCGCCCCATGCGGTAGAACGCGTTCCCATACGCCCCGCCCATGCCGCTGCTTCCGCCCAGCCCTCCGTCAACCCCTGCGCCTATTCCGCTCCCGCCGTTAACCTGCTCCGCTCCGGCCGCCGCATGTCCCGCCACCCACTTCCGCGCCACTTCCCGCCGATCCACCATTCCGCCTCCGCCGATCACCCCTCCCCACGTGACTGTACCTCCCCCTCCCGCGCTGCGCTTATCTGCAGGTGCACCTCCCCCAGGTACGACCTTGTCGCTGCCAGCAACGCTGCTAAGGCGGTCGTCAGTAGGGTCCCAATTAGGTAACGGATCCTCGACCCCTCCAACGGCCACTGCTGACGTGGCACTGCCCATGGACCCCGCCATAGCCGTCACCGCCGGACCGCCTCCCAAACCCGAACCGCCTGCGGAGTCCAATATCCACGTCTTGCTTATGCTTCCACCTCCCGGCATTGCTGCGGAGTCGACTCTTCCCGGCGCCGCCGCCGCTCCCGCTGCTGCGGCTCCGGTCGACGCGCTCCCGACGTGTCCGGCGTTTGTTGCGCCGCCGGAACTGCCTCGCGCGCCTGCTGCCTTCGAGCCTGCCGGTTCGGATAGCACGCCGCTTGTTGCGCCTGGAGCTGCGGGTGCTTGTGGCTGCGCTGCCGGCCCCGCCGCCGCCGCCGCCGCTGCGGTCGATAAAGACGATCCTGGCGCGGCGTGGTACGGCACGTACAGGTCGGGGGGCTTCGCCTCCTTCCTTTGCGGCGTGGTCGCCACGTGTCCAGCAGCAGCAGCCGCACGTTCGTCGCCGCTCGGCGCGCTTGCATTGGCGCTGCTGCCGCCGCAACCACTCGGCGAGCCAAAGACCGCGCGGAGAGTGTGAGGCGGAGCGGAGGCGGCGGAAGGCGAAGCGGACGCGCTGCGCGGGGAAGCCGCGGAGACTGACGGCGCCGCCGATTGCCGTGCGGGGACGCGGATGGGGGGAAGAGCAATAGCTGGGAGCGGAGCCAGCGGAGGCGACGCGGGTTTGGATGGCGGGGAGGTGACGGCGGAAGGCGGAGCGGCATCCGCTCGAGCAGGCGCGCGAGAAGATGACGATGATGACGTGGCAGGCGTGTTGTTGCTGATGCTTCCCACACCGCCTGCCACGGCGGCAGCTGCGAGCAGCGCATCGACGGACGACAGCAGCCGGCGCTGCGCCGAGGAAAGCGAGTGCGTTCTGGCTGGCGGAGCGGCGCTGGCGGGCGTGGCGGAAGCGAGCGACGCGGGGGGAGCGGCGGCGGAGGCGGAAGGGTACTGGTGGTGGTGGTGGTGGTCGCGGGATCGCAGGGCGGCGGCGGATGAAGACGATGGGGACGAAGGGATTCCGCCCCCGCCAACGTTGGCGCTGCCGCCGTAAAAGTGCAACCCATGCGCTCCTCCTCCTGCTGCGGCGCGCTGGCCCGTGCTGTGGCTGTTGGAGCGGGCATACGTCGGCGGCGCGGCTAGGACGGACGGCTGCGCAGCATACCCTGTCGCGGACGATCCTCCGACTCCGCCTCCTCCGCTTCCGCCGGCGTTCGCGGGCGCGGGCGGCGGAACGGCGCTGGCTACTGTGATCATTCCGGGCACTCCCCGCGTGGGGCCAAACGCTCCGCCGACGAAGTTCGCGCCGGTGTTAGAGGCGGAAGACGCGGATGCCCGCGGAGTGCCTGGCGGACGCGCAGGGGCGGGGGAGCTTGGGCGCGAGACGGAGCCTCCGCTTCCGGGAAAGGCGGGCAGCGCGTAGGGGGAGTTATGGCGCGGAGAACTGGGATGAGCGGAAGCGGGATTGGGGGAAGAAGGCTGGGGGTAGCTGTGCCGGGGGGAGCTGGGAATAGGGGAACTTGGACGGGGGGAACCCGACCGGGAAGGATCAACATTGGCGGACGGGGTGAGGGTCATGGGGTGCGGCGCGGGCGGAACGGGATGCTGAGAGCGCGCAAGCTGGGGGGAGACAATAAGTTGCGCCAGCTGCTGGAGATTGGATCGGCGGGGGGTTGTCGGAACAGAGTGGGAGGAGGAAAAAGAGCGCACGGGAGAAGCATGGCGGGGGGCGGCCGCGGGGGGCATGAGGGATGCCGGCGGACCCATGGGTGCGGAGGGGGCGGCGGCGCTGGAGGCGGCAGCGGCGTGAGTGTAGGCGGAGGAGGAGAAGGGGGAAGTCGCGCGGGCGGAGGAAGAGGATGAGCGCGCGGAGAAGAACGAGCTCGCGGAGGGCAGTGAGGGGCGGAACATGCTGCGCCCAGACACGCGCGACGGCGCAGGCGACGCAGAGCGGGAGAGCGCCATTTCAGCACTCGAACAGCTGCTCGGGGGGGGGAAACGGGGAGGGGTGAGGCAAAGATGAGGCGGGCAGGGACGGGACTAGGGGCATATGGGAATGAGAGCACTGATGTTATTCGGATGGATGGAGAAAGGCGAAGACGGGGAAGAAAGCATGTGGATACACGTGAGGTACGGCGGAGGTGAGCGCATTGGACACTCGTTAGCAACTTTGAACGGGCTGATCTCTTTGCTCCTGTGAACGAAGCCGGAAGTAGCACCCTGTTCTTGCGACCCCGCGAAACTCGAGCACGCGCGACACCAAGGCATGCCACACCACACCACACCACACCAGGCAAGCGGGCGACGCTGAAACCTTGGGAAATATATAGGGATTGTCCACTCACAATCAAGGTAAGACCCAGTCGCGTAGATTCGAGCATCAATTCGTCGACTATCGCGAGCAGGAAGCGTTTATTAGCAAGTCGTCGGCAGAAGCAGAGTCGCTGCACCCAGTTTCCACGAGATGTGGAGGGGAGGAGCTAAACGAGGTAGTAAGCGAGCCTGAAGCAGAACGAACAGCAGCAGGAGAGAATTGCGACGAACGGTGATGGTAGCCGGACGGATGGGAGACTATTCATCTAATCAGCTTCGCGGTCTACATACGGGGCGTGAGGCTCCTTGTTGTGGGCGCTAGTGCCCCCTCTTGGCTGATCTTTCGTGACGAGGCACACGAAATGTTCTCCCATGGGAAACGGACGTAATGAGTCAATGGCCCAGTGCCCCAACTAAGCGCAACCTCTCAGTTCGACTTCTTGACATTCTTGGAGTGAACGACTGGCAACAACTATTGCGGAAATCACTCGCCATAACTGCTTCTCTCTTACGTCCCCTACATTCGGGCTGCACATAGCGTGGCGGTGAGGTGATTCCTTGGACGGACTATCAACCAAAAGAAAATAGGTTGACGACGGACTAGCGCTAACAGCGCAGAAGCATCGTCTGGCGGCGTGGCATGGTTGCACGGTCGGGGTGGGATGGGGCGCGACCTGCTTGATGCTTGGAATGTTAGAATCAAACTAATGAGTAGTGACCGTAGTCATAACCGATGCGAAAGGACTGAGGCGGACAAGCATTAGCCTGGCATGCAAGCAAGCATGTTGCGCCCAACGACCAGGGGGAATTTGGGGTGGTCGACGACTGGATGGTTGGGTGGAGGGGCCGCGCATAAGTCTGGGTTGGGCTGAATGGGCTGTATGAAGGGCGCAACTGCAAATACAGTACCGTACAGTGGTGGTCAGGTCATTGGGCGGGCATTGGGCTGGAGGCGGTGGGGGTGGTCATAGTGAGAGTCGGCCCTGGCAGGTGGTTCCGCCAACAGCCAAGAGGGGCGGAAGGGCAGACGAAATACAGTAATGCGTTTTATTGTCCTTTCAAGGGGTTGTTTGCGGTATGTTTGACGAGGGGGTTCGGGATTGCAGCGTGTGGCACAAGGATTGTTCTTGTACCAGTTGCAAAGGTTGCACCAATAGGGTCCATAATAAAGGGTTCCGTACGAATGACGGTATGGTTGCGGCTCGTATTTGTTACACAATCGAGCGCTGTAAACCATACTATTGCTATCTGGAAGCGCACTTTCGCTGCAATGCATTTGCGACTCGGTGACTCGCGGCGCATCCCCGCACACCATGAAACTGTAGGCACGCCACGCAATATGCGGCCCGGTGTTGGGCGCAAGCAAACCAGCCACGAAAGATTGTTTCTGTGCCGCTGAGCCGCTGATGTGGAACTTCCACGTGCCAGGGGACAACCTCCACACGACCAGACACAAGAGGATGGGGAGGGGAACTGGGGTGATCTGCGGACTACCAAACAAAGAAGTTAAAAATAATGGAAATACACAGAAGTTGGTTCGGAATCGATACAAATACTAGATGCTGGTGGGATGGATACTGAGGAAGGGTCAGTTTTAAATTACCTTGTTCGTTTAAGGCGGTCAAGTAAGTTTGAGCGTGTTAAGAAACGGTTTGCTTTGATAGAAATACAGATTCGCCTTCAGCCCGTTGCTTGTGTGATTTATTGGGATCTGTTCTACCCTGGAAACCCAATGCTGCTCATTACATTACAAGCTCCAACTCTTTGTCCTATCATCTTCTTCACACACAAAAGTGGGGTGTTGTGGGGTTGGACCCACAAAAGTTCGTCTCAACCGATTCTTTCTAACCAGCAGTTTGGGTAATCTACCCTCGCGAAGTGAACTACCTTCGAGGGAGTCAAGCTGGTCCGCTCTCCCCCGACTGAGCAGTTTCGTGAGGGAGCAAGAAACGTCGTTGCTACGAAGGGAAAGAGTGTGGTGAATGTTCCAGTAAGAGCACTGCCATTTCACTAACAAATTCGGCAAACGATGAGTCCATTTTGTTTATGGACAAGCCAGTGGGTAAAACTATGGTATTCGTGCATAATATGTCACCATATGATGAGACGGGTGTAAAATTGGGCGCATATTCGATTAAGCTAGGATTCAAGAATTTTCATGTATAAATACTATGCTTTGTATAGCCATGCTTCAAAGTAGCCATTATGTGGGCTGCAATGGCATGTGCATGGTTATGAATGCTTCAGGAGTAGAATCAGTGGGTCTGAAGTGTGTTTCTTATTTGTAGTAGCTGATATAAAATCGTATATAATTGGGTTGGTGCTATGGTGCGGTCAGGAGGTGATATTGAAAGGTTGAGAGTGCTAGGGGAGATGAATGGGGGGACGCGATTCCGCACAGCTGCGCGTGTTCTCCCCCATCCCCCCCTCCCCCCCCCCCCCCCCCCCCCCCCCCCTCTTCTCCCCTCACCTCCGCCAACCGTTCGACATTCTCCTCCATTGTTTCGTTTCTCTCGCTATCCAATCGGAGACCGAGGTGGAGGCACAGTTACTTCGTGGTTTGTCCCTGTTACTTAGGAATGTTGCATCGCGGATATTCTCCTGCACTCCATCTGCACCTCACAAAGCAAATAGCCCTCGAGTCCACTTTTCCGAAAGTTGCGGTTGAAGTTGCTTGATACTGTAAAGGCATTAGTGTATGGAATTTTGACAGCACATATGTGTTTTCGTTGCGTTCATTGGTCGCGTTTCTGCTTGTTGATAAGCCTGCGGAGCGGACCAATGAAGAGAGAAAACTTGCCTTGGACTGCACGCACATACTGTACAGTGTACACGCCTTCGTCACTTCCTTCACGTCACCTCCTCCCCACCTGACCCCCAGCTCGTGTGACGAACGAATGTAGAATTGCTGCTGTTCGGTACAAAAGCCGTCTCGTCGCGCCAATTGTTCCACCAATTGTAAATCCTTCCAGAGTCCGTGCCCCGATTTACGCATAGAATCCACACCAAACTGTATTTTTTCTCAGTCCGATATCAGCCATGGCGGCCGGGCCCGACACGTTCCTTCCAGGCCCACTTCCAGTAGACACGAGCCACATTTTACAATGTCCTACTTCCGCCTTGCCTTTTCTTCAGGAGCTGCGCGCGCGCTGGCCTATCAACGAAAATGACATTTCTAAGAAACTCCCACAGCTTCAAGCGATCCAATTCGCTGAACACGCGGACAATGCGACGCGGCTTAAGATCGACGGAGGCGCCACACGCGACGACATGAAAACGGATTCCGTCGCAAGCGAGCCGGAGCGCGGCCTCACGGAGAACCACGCCCATACGTATGTATCATCGGGGAACGCGTGCGTGGATTTCCTTTTCCACGTGCTTCCGCAGACCACGCGCGACCATGCGCACCGGCGGCTCGAGGCCGCGTGGGCGGAGGACCCGGCCACGGCGCTGCGGCTGGTGATGCAGCTGCGCGCGGTGCGCGGCACGGGAAAGAGCGACCGCTCCAGCTTCTTCCACTGCGTCACGTGGCTTTATCAACACCACCCGCGGACGCTTCTCGAGAATCTCTGGCTGGTTCCCGAGTTCGGATGCTTTAAGGACCTTCTAGAGATCGTGCGGCTCGTTCTGGCGGAAGAAGGGGTGTACTCGAATGAGGAGGAGGGGAAGAAGATGCGGAAAAAGGGACGCGGCGGGATAAGATTCTATGGCGGCTGGGAACATGAGAGGAGTCGGGCGGAAGTTGTTGCGCAAGAATGGCTAGACTCGGATGAGACTGATGATGCCACGGCTTGGAACAACATCTCGGAGATGGTGAAAAGGAACAGCTGGGAAGGGAGCAAGAGCGACATGATGTCCGGGAAGGAAAAGCAGAAGCTTTGGGAGGAATGGGTAGCGGAGGAGCGGCGGCAAATGGCGGAGGAGAAGGAGGAGAAGGAGCTCCTTGCGGCCGTTCCGCGCAAGGAAAGGCACGCGCGGAGGGCGGCGGAGGTGGCGCACGCGTACGAGACGAGCGAGCGGCTGCGCGCCGTGCACAACGCGGTGGCGGCGATCTTCGCGGCTGCGCTGAAGAAGGACCTGGAGACGATGCGCGCGTTCGAAGAGAGGCGCGCGCGGAAGAACGCGGAAGGGGGAGGGGCGCAGGGGGAGGAGACGATGGGCGAGGAGAAGAATGAAGAGGCAGGGGAGAAGGGTGTCGAAATGGCAGAGGCAGAAGGGGAGGGGGAAAAGGAACAGAAAGAGGAGAATGGAGGGGACGGTGAGAACGGTGGCAAGGGCAAGAAGAAGCGCAAGTGGATGGGGAGGCCGGCGCCGAGGCTCTCTCTGGCAGCCAAGTGGGCGCCCTCCCCTGGCAAGTCGTTTGATCACTCCACACTGCTCACCTCCTCCATCGCCCTCCTCCTCTTCCCCCCCTCCCCCTTTTCCTCCTCCCCCTCCTCTGCTGCTGCTGCTGCGGCGGCTGCTGCTACATCTGATGCTGCTGATTCCGGGATGGATGTGAACAGTGGAGCAGCAGCAGGCGGGGGGGGCGGGTACGTGCGCGTGGCGAAGGAGCGGCTGCAGAGGGAGGTGCTGGCGCCGCTGCGGAGAGTGCTGGAGGTGCCCGAGGTGCACATGAGCAGCGGGCAGTGGGAGCACGTGGCGTACGGGCGAGTCCCATCCATATGCATGAAGAAGAGCCGCAAGCTCTTCCTCTCCCATGACCTGCCGCGCTTCACAGAGTACCTCGAGGATGTGAAGGGCGGGGAGGCAAAGATCGCTGCTGGAGCGGTGCTGCCGCATGAAGTGGTGCAAACAGCCGTGGAAGCCGCAGCGGAGGGTGACTTGAACGACAGTGTGGGCGAGCTGCAGTGGAGGGCCATGGTGGCTGATGTGCGCAGCAAGGGGTCCCTGGGGAACAGCATGGCGGTGTGCGATGTGTCGGGGAGCATGACCGGCACACCCATGGAGGTGGCCATTGCACTGTCGCTGCTCGTGAGCGAGGTGAGCAGCGAGCCGTGGAAGAACCACCTCATCACCTTCTCCGCGCAGCCCATAATCCACCAGGTGCAGGGAGAAACCCTCGTGGAGCGCGTGAGGAGCACGCAGGGCATGGCCTGGGGCTACAACACGAATTTCCAGGCGGTGTTTGACCTGCTGCTGTCCCGCGCAAACAAGTTCCAGCTAGACCCGGCCGACATGGTGCAGCGGCTGTACGTGTTCTCCGACATGCAGTTTGATGAGGCGGGCAGGGCTAGCGGGGCCGACTGGGAAACAGACCACCAGGCGATAGTGCGCAAGTTCACTGCAGCTGGTTACCCTGTGCCGCAGATAGTGTACTGGAACCTGAGGGGGGACGCTCGTGCGAGCAGCACACCGGTTCTTGCAAGTGAGGATGGGGTGGCGATGGTATCGGGTTTCAGCAAGGGCATGCTGCTGGCGGTGATGGAAGGGAAAGAGATTTCTCCCATGGGAGTGATCAATGAGGCTATCTGTGGGAAGCTTTTCGAGCTTATTCGGGTTGTGGATTGATTAGAATTTAATTGCGTGTATTTTTCCGATTAGGAAGTATACAGGCAGCAGAATTTGGCATGCTTGTAATGACCATGCAAAAGCCAGTTCTGTTTTTCATACCTTGGTGTCCCCATCAGGCTCCATTTGACCGGTAGTTCTTCCCCACCCCACCATCTCCTCCCTCATGAATAACCTCCCCAGCCGAACATCCTTTTGTTGCATAAACTCCCATCTTTCCACATTATGGAAGTATAAAACACTCCTGCAAATGACCCTATGGCCATGATCCATAGCCGTGAACCCAGGGACACGCTGAAAGAGAGGAACCATAACCTTTGTGAACACCAATGTTGCTTCTACACCAAAGGAATACGTTGGTTAAAGAAAATATTACTTCAGAGACGATACCGATGTACATTCGGAGCTCCAAAGCGCGTACGGCTGTGGCCGCCGCCGTCCATGATCCACCGCGCCCATTGATGTGGTGCATAGTCGCCCAACCTTTCGAAAGTTGGGATTGGGGATGTAGCGTAATCCCCGAAGGTTGCGGCCTAGGTTGCTTGTAGGAATTCCCGAGGTCTTGTGGAGCATCTAGCGTTGGGGGTTCTTAATCTTCAATCAACCTATCACAGACCATCTCTGTCATTGGTTGCGTCTCAGCCTGTCGATAAGCCTCCGAAGCGGACCAATGAGAAATGCTGTACCTTGCCTTCGACTCCACGCACATGTCACTTCCTCCACGTCACCTTCTCCTCCCACCCAGGAACTCCACAGTTTCCGTCACAAACACCGTCTCGTTCCAACTGGTTACGGGTTCAAAGCAAATCCTTCCAGCGCCCACACCTCTTTATTTACAGACATAGTATAGAGTAAATCCACAGCCAACTTTTCTTTGTCTTCGGTCCCTGCCATATCAGCCATGGCGGCCGAGTCTGGTATCATCCTTCCAGGCCCATTTCCGGTGGACACGAGCCACATTTTACAGTGTCCCACTTCCGCCTTGCCTTTCCTTCAGAAGCTGCGCGCGCGTTTTCCAGGCAACAAGAATGACCCTTCTAAGAAACTGCCACGAATTCAACCTATGCCATCCACATGCGACGACATGCAAGTAGGTTCCGTCGCACGCGAGCCGAAGCGGGGCTACACGGAGAAAGGCGGGAATACGTTTTTTACGTCGGGGAGCGCGTGCGTGGATTTCCTCTTCCACGTGCTGCCGAAGACCCCGTTCGACGATGCGCAGCGGCGGCTCGAGGCCGCGTGGGCGGAAGACCCAGACACGGCGCTGCGGCTGGTGATGCAGCTGCGCGCGGTGCGCGGCGCGGGTAAGAGCGACCGTTTCAGATTCTTCCACTGCGTCACGTGGCTGTATAAGAACCACCCGCGGACGCTCTTGCAGAATCTCTGGCTCGTACCGGAGTTCGGGTGCTTCAAAGACCTTCTAGAAATCGTTCAGATCGCTCTAGAGGTACACGCAAGGAAGCGGAAAAAGCGCAGCGGAAAAAGGTTCAAGGACGGCGAGGAAACGAGTCGGGCGGAACTCGTTGCGGAGGAATGGCTAGACTCGGATGAGCATGACGCTAAGGCTTGGAACAAAATGGTGAAAAAAAACAACTGGGAAGGGAGCAGGAGCACCTTGGTGATTGGCAAGGGGAAGCAGAAGGTTCAGGAGGAGGACGAGGTGGCGGAGAACAGGCGGCAGATGGACGAGCGCGAGCTCCGCTCAGTTCTGCGCAAGGAAAGGCGCTCGCGGAGGGCGGCGGAGGTGGCGCACGCGTACGAGACGAGCGAGCGGCTGCGCGCCGTGCACAACGCGGTGGCGGCGATCTTCGCGGCTGCGCTGAAGAAGGATCTGGAGACGATGCGCGCGTTCGAAGAGAGGCGCGCGCGGAAGAACGCGGAAGGGGGAGGGGCGACGGCGGAGGAGGCGATGGAGGCGGACGAGAATGAAAAGGCAGGGGAGGCGGGTGTAGAAAACGCAGAGGCGGACGGGGAGGGGGGAAAGGAAGAGGAAGAGGAGAAGGCAAGGGAAGGCGAGAAGAAGAAGCGCAAGTGGATGGGGAGGCCGGCGCCAAGGCTGTCTCTGGCAGCCAAGTGGGCGCCCTCCCCTGGCAAGTCGTACGATCACTCCACACTGCTCAATTCCTCCATCGCCCTCCTCCTCTTCCCCCCCTCCTCCTCCTCCTCTTCCTCCCCCTCTCCCTCCCCTTCCCCTTCCCCCTCCCCCTCCTCCTCCTCTGCTGCTGCGGGTTCCCGCACAGCAACTCCCCCCGAGAGGGCAGCAGGCGGAGATGTGAACGGCGGGGCTGCAGCAGCAGCAGGCGGGGCGGGAGGGTACGTGCGCGTGGCAAAGGAGCGGCTGCAGAGGGAGGTGCTGGCGCCGCTGCGGAGAGTGCTGGAGGTGCCCGAGGTGCACATGAGCAGCGGGCAGTGGGAGCACGTGGCGTACGGGCGCGTGCCGTCCGTGTGCATGAACAAGACCCGCAAGCTCTTCCTCCAGCACGACCAGGCGCGCTTCACAGAGTACCTCGAGGATGTGGAGGGCGGCACGGACGCCAAGATCGCTGCTGGAGCGCTGCTGCCACATGAAGTGGTGAAAGCAGCCATGGAAGCAGAAGAGCAGGGCGTCGGGAACGACAGTGTGATCGAGCAGCAGTGGAGGGCCATGGTGGCTGATGTGCGCAGCAAGGGGTCCCTGGGGAACAGCATAGCGGTGTGCGATGTGTCGGGGGACTTTTATCACATGGCCATTGCACTGTCGCTGCTCGTGAGCGAGGCGAGCAGTGAGCCGTGGAAGAACCACCTCATCACCTTCTCCCGCATAATGATGCCCGAGATTCGCAGCGTGCAGGGAGAGACGCTAGCGGAGCGCGTGAGAAGCACAGAGGTCGGGTACTGGGTCTACGACAAAACCTATTTCCAGGCCGTGTTTGACCTGCTGCTGTCCCGCGCGCAGCAGTTCCAGCTAGACCCGCCCGACATGGTGCAACGCCTGTATGTATTCTCCGACATGCAGTTTAACCAGGGAAGCTTGGCCCGTAGCGCCAAGTGGGAGACGGACCACCAGGCGATCAAGCGCAAGTACGCTGCAGCAGGTTACCCTGTGCCGCAGATAGTGTATTGGAACCTGAAGGGGGACGCTCGTGTGAGCAGCACACCGGCGCTTGTGATTGACGATGGAGTGGCGCTGGTGTCGGGGTTTAGCAAGGGCATGCTGCAGGCGGTCTTGGAAGGGAAGCAACTGTCTCCCATATCAGTGCTTGATGAGGCCGTCAGTGGCAAGCTTTTTGACCTCCTTCAGGTTGTGGATTGATTACTGATTAGTACGGTTACCATAAATTACTCAAGAGTGAGTTTAGGGTTACCGTGAATACGGTATTTAATCGCGTGTATTATTCCATGGATTGGTTGGAAAGAAGAATGTGGGCAGTTGAAACCTGGTGTGCCTGTAATGAGCTTAGGCCTTGTTCGGTAGGCCGCCTAGTCGGACTGCGGATGGGTCAGGGCAGGTTCCCCAGTTCAAATGTGTACATGCTTAAAGCCCATTAACTCGTTAGTAGAACACCGAACCTACCCAGTGAGAGTTTGTTACGGAACACCTCAATTTTACACCGACTATGATGGGACTGGCCGTAACGAAGCTGGGGAAGAACTTTCTTCTCCTGGCAAAAACCAGTCGGAGTCCACTTCAGGGTTCCCCCCTGTAATAGGCTATCACCAGTACGAGTGACAGCGAGGATGTACAGCTGTTTTCCCACGGTGTAAAGTTTCTTCGTTGTTGTCTCGCAATTCCGCAACATCCAACGCTAAGGTGCCTTCAGTGTGAGTTGAGGCCCGAGGCTAGGAAGCCTCACAAGGGTTCGCCAGTGCGAGTTAGCCCACTCGCATTGGGTGCCTACCGAACAAGGCCATAATAGCTGTAAAAGCCGTTTTGTAAAAGCCGTTTTGTATTCCATGGATTGGCATGGAAATTCATTCACTCTATCCCCGGCTCCATTCTTTTCGTTGCAAGAACGTCCAGCCAGCTTCAAACGTTATCCCAGTTCAGCAAAATTATAAATTTTAAACACATTGATGTTTTCAAAATTGTGTATTGTGAAAGCGAAGCTGCCTGTACCGAATATTTGGCAGCGTCGAAGCGCGCTAAACGCCCTTCTCCAACTACAAAAACCGTGGGTTGGAGTTCATTCCCTCCACCCACGTTTCTCGTTTTTCAACGGCTCAATCAACATTTCCGTTCGAGTAGTTCTTTTCCCCGTCCAAGCTGGCTAGAACTCGCACCCTCCCCAGAGGCGAGTCACCCTCAACACTTCTGCAAGACATTTTCAACCACAACCGCTCTACAATGGCGTCTACGCCGGCACTTAACCGCGGCAATTCGTCTGCGCCGAGTTCCGACACCGACCGTAACGCCCGAGAAATGACGGGCGATCGCCGTAACAAGCGCCGGGCAGAGGAAGGATCGCCCGCCCCAACCGCCGTGGACGTGCTGTTGGGCGGGCTCGAGGTCAACAAAAACTCGAGCCCGCCCCAGCAGCAGCACCCCTCGGCCCCTGTGGCGCCTGTGGCGCCTGAGGCGCGTGTGGCGCAAGTGGCGACGGCGGCACCTGCAGCACCTGTGGCGCCACACGCGCCTGACGCGGAGCACACGCCGGCGCCTGTGGCTGGACCGTCGCGTCAGCGCCAGAGGCGCCGAACAGCGACTTCTTCTGACGCGACGACCCCGGCGTTGACCAACGCGTTGACTCCGGACCAGGTCGCCGCGCTTCTGTCCCTGTTACAGCAACACCCGGCCAGCGTTACAGCTACGGCCCGCGGCCTCTGCATCTGCTAAAAAGGAAAACGCAAAAAGAGAAAAAGGAGCGCGAGGAACAACGGCGAACCGGCACGACAAGGAAGCACCGGCCAGCATCCCACCTGCGCCAGTGGCCGACAACGACACCGACGGCTCCGACGACGATGATGGTGAGGCTCCGGTCCATACCAAAAATTTTAATTCCATGGAGCATCTTCCCCCCCTCCCCTCTACTACTAACACCACTTGGTCGGCGGCGACGTTCAACGACGCGCACGTGCGGGCGAAAGCGGAAATTCTGGAGGACATGCGGGCCTACCTGAAACACGCAGAATACAAGCTGCAGCACGGCGACTTGGCGGGCGGACTCGAAATGGTCGTCGCCGCCCTCGACGACATTTCCGCGCGCTTCGAAATGTTTCAAGTCGAAGACGCCTCCGACGACCGCGTTGCCAAGCGCTACAAAATGTACCTGCAGAAAAGCCTTCTCACTTCACGCCCGTTCAAGCAAGCCGTCGCGGACGTGGCTGCCATGGACCGAGCGGCGGGCGCTCACGCTCGCTCCCACCGCGGTGGAACCCATGGCGCCATGGCGTTCGCCCCAAAACGGGGCCCTCCAACCTCGGGCAATTTCCAAGGCTTTCGTGGTTCGTGTTTCCGCTGCGGCCAGCCAGGCCACGTTGCCAATGCCTGCCCTCGGAATGGGCACGGGGGCCAAGGACCCGCACCGGTTGTGTAGGGTTCGGGCTATGGCGAAGTGCGCCACTCGGCGCGATGCACGGTGCACTCTTGAGTGCTTAGACCGTGGGCAGCCTAGTAGGGCTTGCGGTGGCCATGGGCCAGCCCTAGGATAGGGTGGTAGAATTTGGCCATAGGCCTAGCTTTGGGGAAGAGGAAGAATGCCTCTCGGTCCCCTAGGATAGGGTAATAAAGTATGGCCGTAGGCCTAACCTTGGGAAGAGGAAGAATGCCTCTCGGTCCCCCGGATGCCCCAATTGATGGGATGAGAAGCATGCTAGTAGGCATGACAATGCATGACCATGCGAGATATGGATTTTATTAAAGGCCCCCCTCTGGTTGCGAAGGATCACAAAAAAAAAAAAAAAAAAAAAAAAAAAGGGAGAACGCGAGGAGGAGAAGGGGGAGGGGGAAAACGGGCACATTCCTCCCTCAAACCGCCACCATGCATGGCAGGGATGGGCAGCCCTGGTTCAATCTTTGGAAGACCAAAAAGGGAGAGAAGGAGCAAGAAGTACAAAAAAAAAAAAAAAAAAAAAAAGGGAGAGAAAGGGGGGCATAGCAATGTCCCTAGCCCAAGCGAGTGCTCGCGCGGAAAGACACGAGCCCATGGCAAGCGAAGCATGCAAATGCTCAAACAATGATGGAAACACGCACAAAAAGAGAGGGAGAGAGAGCGAGAGAGTGTGTGTGTGTGTGTGTGAGAGAGAGAGAGAGAGAGAGAGAGAGAGAGAGACAGAGAGAGAGAGAGAGAGAGAGAGAGAGAGAGAGAGAGAGAGAGAGAGAGAGAGAGAGAGAGAGAGAGAAGAGAGAGAGAGAGAGGAGAGTGAAGCATGATCGCGGTCCCAAGCATCAATCCTAGAGCAAGGTTAAAAAAAAAAAAAAAAAAATAGAGCATGGGAAAGAGTTTGCCAAGGTGCGATCGGACGCCCAATATGGAATGATGACAAACCGTTCGTATGGTTCTCACTGCTGATGGTTCATCTTTCGCGCATGCATGTATATGTCACACGCATTCACTAATTAAGGCGTGTAACTTGATTGGTCCCGTTCAATTCCTTGCCGTACAAACAGGAGCACAACAATACGAGGTGCCTCGCGACGAAGACCCGTACGAATTCGCCGTCACGGACAAAACCGTCACACGGATGTGCGGTCGGCTTCGCTCGACCTTTGCGTGGTGGAGCTCATGGTGCCCTTGCAGCCTTGTTCTATCCATAATCGCCAACGGTTACTGGCTTCCATGGAGCCACGGCCCACCACCGGCCTTCCGGGAGCGGAACCACGCCGGTGCATACGCGCATGCTACGTTCACACGTACTGCCATCCAAGAACTCACAGAGACCGGGGCTGCAGTCGAGACAGCCGCAAGCGAGCTTACGTGCATAAGCCCACTTAACGTGGTCGAGCAGAGAGAAAAATGTAGGCTCATCCTTGACCTGAGAAAAGTCAACGCAAACCTCATCGTTCCAAAATTCAAGTACGAAGGACTCAGCCGCGTGGCAGACGTCGCACGAGCTGGGGATTGGATGTTTTCTATCGATCTCAAATCCGGGTACCATCACATCGACATCCATCCCTCGTGCTGGAAGTTTCTCGGTTTCGGATTCGATGGGCGCACTTACTCCTTTCGTTCATTGCCGTTCGGTCTTGCGACAGCCCCATTCGTCTTCACGCAACTCATCAAGCAGCTAGCCCGTCGCTGGCGAGAGCAAGGCATTCGAGTAGTACCATACGTGGACGACATCTTATTCCTTTGCCAGTCAAAAGCCCACGCGCAGGCCACGTGCCACCGTGTGATACTGGACCTTAAAGCAGCGGGTTTGGTGATAAATGCAAAGAAATCACAACTGTCACCATCGCAACACCTTCGATTCTTGGGTGTGGAGCTAGACACGGTCACCGGCCGATTTACCATCGGTCCCGAACGACGAGCCTCACTTCATGCAACCATTCGGAACCTGTTGAGCGCAAGCAAGGCCTGTCGACCCGTCTCAGTTCGCCAAGTGGCCAGAATCACAGGCATGCTCGCGTCAATGGGCGTCGCGCTGGGTGCAACAGCTCGTGCCTTCAGCCACGCCATGCTACAAGTGATCAATGACGCACCTTCATGGAAAAGCAGCGTGATCATCCCCCCACCTGCGGCTGAGGAGCTAAACTTCTGGCTCGAAGAGTTTGATCGGTTCAACGGTGCGCCGTTTCACGTTCGAAACAGCTACGATGCTGTAATCCATGTGGACGCTAGCGCTCACAGTTGGGGCGCCACTTTGACCACCTTCCCTGGCGGCCTCGAAGAAGCCAGCGCAACAATGCCAGAGCCACTGCAAGCGACGTCCAGCACACGGAGGGAGATCGAAGGAGTGCTTTGGGCACTCCAAACATACTCCAGCAAGATCAGACACAAACATGTTCTTGTGCGGGTGGACAATCAGGGCGTCTTCTTCATCCTTCGCAAAGGTGGCTCGCGCAGCCCCGACCTTACCACGGCCTGCCAAGCCATCATTCGGATATGCATGGAGCACGGCACGCGTCTAATCATCGAATGGATCCCACGCGAGCTAAACTCACACGCTGATGAGCTCTCAAAAGCAGTCGATCATGACGACTACTCGTTGAAGACGCCGTGGTTCCGCATCTTAGAACGACGTTGGGGTCCCCATTCCATCGACCTCTTTGCAAATCCCCGCAACTCTCAGCTGCCACGCTTCTGCACGAAAATTCCTCACCCACTAGCCACCGCAGTAGACGCATTTTCGCTCGCCTGGACAGCAGAAAATAGC